TAGAAGATTAATCAATGACTTATGTGAATTATATGTCCAACCATCAGCCATTAAAATACATCCAACATCCTCCCAAGTTTTCTTGTAACCATCAACAAGTAATTGCACTTCTTTCCTAGTATCTCTCAATATATTTACACGTAAATTATGATAAGTTGAGATTTTATACCCAGGACCAATTGCAATTATAGAATCCATCATAAGTTAAAAATAAATTGAATTAATAACATTAATTGAGATGCAAAAATCATAAAATAACCTTGTCATAGCCATGTCTGCTCTCCACTTAGCTTCTTTTTCGACTAAAACACTCTTAATTGAGGGCTGAGACCCAGACTTAGTCCTTGGAGCAAAATAGTCCCACCTATCCCAATAGATCTTTTTCTCTTAGTGCTTGAAGTTGAAGTTGGAGTTGGAGTTGGACATGGAGAAACCTTTTCATACTCTTGATCTTCATCTAACATATCACCCTCAAATTGTTGTACACTAGCTCCATAAGGATTGACATTCTTACGAAGTTCAACTTTTTGTTTCTTCTTGGCCCCAATTTCGTTTAGTGTCTCTTCAATTTTGAATTTAACATCGAAATGAAATTTAGAGCACTTTCTAACTTCCCCCTTTATACCTGCTAAATGCAGTTTCACTCGATAAATTCCTCCACCTCTGATTATCTTGCCACAGTAAAGATATGTTAATATCTTCTTCTCATTTTCATCTATGTCCTCATTAACATGTCCCCATGCTATATCATTTCTTCCTCGAAAAGATTATGAAACATCTATGGAAGCAGATTGTTTACAAGACCCAGATGATGACATATTCTTTGTCTTTAATCTTGATCTTTACCCTGGCAACACAAATAACAAATAAGTTATTATCGATCATAATCGAAAATATCTTCATAAATTAAATTAAAGATTCAATATGTTTGATTAAATCTTGTATGGCATGTGTGTATACTGTGTAAACGTAAGAAATTCAAATACTTCAGGATGTTTACATAAAGCCACAACATCATTATGACAATTAACCTCAATCAACCAAGGGATCATGTACTAATACCAAAGAAATCACTATGATTTGCACCATCAATTTGAAACAAAAAATTCATTTAGAAACTACCCTGATCCTATATTATGAAGCTCCCACTCTTTACTCTTTACTACTTTCACTGCCCAATTCAGATGACTGCGACCAAGACCAAGAAAAGCAGCCAGCCGTCCACAAATAACGTAAGAACTTCCAGAATGCGTCTTAACTACTTCGTACCTACCAATTACCAACCAAACGTAAGATTTTAGCACAAGTCTTTTGGGTACCTTAGAGTCGGTTTTGCATCATTATCGAAACCTCTTTTCAGTTTCTTTATTCTAAAAACTGATAAAAGTTGGCTACATATTGAATGTAAAATAGTTGTTAAAAATATAACATTTGTTTTGCAAAAGTTAATGATAGTTTAGATTAATTTAACAACAGACCATGACATAACAAAGTAGCAGTCAAAGCAGTACTCCATGAGATGTGGAGACAACAAAATCTTGAAGAAAAGATAGAGGACAAATGGGAGGAAGAGGCGACAGTTATTTGGCGAAGATGAGTTGTCGTTGACTGTCGAAGAGGTGGAGCTCAACTGTGAACTGTGAAGAGATGACATGGAGCAAATGTGAGGAAGAGGAGACATTTCCTAGGCAAGACGAAGAGGAGATTGATGGTGTAGCTCTGAGATCGACGATGAACAGAGCAGATCGACGGTAAAGAGTGAAAACTGAAGAGTTAAGAGAGGACATAAGAGATCACGAAATGGGAGGAGAGTCTCGGTACCCCAGCTGATGATGAACAAAGAAGTTCACGCCTTCACGGTGAAGAGACGAAATCGACTATGAATGGGAGACTCCGATGGAATATTTTCAGACAAAAAGTCAGGGAAATAGCGTAAAAAGGAGTTTTTNTTGAAAAGTTAAATTAAAAAAAAACAAAAAAAAAAAAAAGAAAATCGGGCTAACCCGGCCCGGACGCGCCTAACCCGGCGGGTTAGGGTTGGCGGGCCAGCCATTTTCTCAAAAATGGCGGGCCTAACCCGGCCCGCCAAAGAATGTAACCCGGGTCGGGCCGGGCGGGTTACTTTTCCACCTTTATTCGTACCTACCAATTACCAACCAAACGTAAGATTTTAGCACAAGTCTTTTGGGTACCTTAGAGTCGGTTTTGCATCATTATCAAAGCCTCTTTTCAGTTTCTTTATTCTAAAATCTGATAAAAGTTGGCTGCATATTGAATGTAAAATAGTTGTTAAAAACATAACATTTGTTTTGCAAAAGTTAATGATAGTTTAGATTAATTTAACAACAGATCATGACATAACAAAGTAGCAGTCAAAGCAGTGCTCCATGAAATGTGGAGACAACAAAATCTTGAAGAAAAGATAACGGACAAATAGGAGGAAGAGGCGACAGTTACTTGGTGAAGATGAGTTGCCATTGACTGTCGGAGAGGTGGATCTCAACTGTGAATTGTGAAGAGATGAGATCGAGCAAATGTGAGGAAGAGGCGACATTTCCTGGGCAAGACGAAGAGTAGATTGATGGTGTAGCTCTGAGATTGATGATGAACAGAGCAGATTGGCGGTAAAGAGTGAAGACTGAAGAGTTAATAGAGGACAGAGGAGATCACGAAATGGGGGGTGGGGTTGAAATCGTTGATATTTGGGGGTTTAAGGGATATAGGGTTTATTCTAATTTTTATATGGGACCTGGTTTTTTTTTAAATAACTGTTGGACCATCGGGTGCTACAGTGCACCGATCCAACCGCGGGTGTAACTGGCCAGTCTTACATTACTGGTTATTAGCCTCATTCGGCTCGGCTCACCGGTTGGGTGCCGATTGAACCGGTTGACCGGCCAGGTTTTAAAACATTGAAAAGAAATATAACGAACAAATTTGGTACAAAGCATAGCCCAAAATGCAGGGTGCTATCCTTATAGGAGTTACCCAATGTCTACTGCATAGATGAACTGAAGGTTAGAAAATAGGAGAAAGGAGATTCAATAATTTATCCCCAGCAAAGAGAGGGAATAAAACCAGTGTCAGCATAACGCAAACTGAAACATATTTATCAAGTGACTTAAGCGTGCAGGGATCGATACTTGGCACTGAATTAGCCAGAGCAAAGCTTGTCTCTTAACCTCTCTTCCCTCCATGCATTTTTAACCTTAGAAATGAAGCTTTCGACCCTTTTCTGGGAATTATCATTGTACATTCTTCATCTTCCCAACCAATCTAATCGTCGCTGCAATTGTCATTTTCATCTTCCTTATAACCATTGGAACCATAATACTTGTCATATTCATTACGATTGCCTCTGATGTTATCATGTGTATCTTGGCTCATGGTAGAAATGCGGCAGACCTCCTCAACTTGGTAAGTATATGGCGGCTGGTAGCTCCCAACAATGATATGTTGAATATGATTGTGTTAAACAAGGATAAGGAGGACTTGATGAAAGCTGATTAAAGATTGTTGATAATGAATTGTTCATAAGCAGAATAGCAGCAACAAACAAATATTAGAAAGATAGAGAACAGTATCCCAGTCTCAGCCAGCTTCATGGTTCATACAGGTATTCCAGTGGGAGATATTGTCTTATATTATACATACAAAGTCTTGTATATAAAGGGATGTGACAATACTCGTGAATTGTGTATCATTTCACCGTCATTTAAAGTGTTTATTAATTTGACTTTTTATTATAATTTAGTCAATCATATTTTAACACTAGAAACTCTTTAAAAGTATAATATTATAGGACATGTTTGGTTTATTATTTCTGTACATTTTTTCAATCTTATTCTCTAAATAATATTTAGCATATTATTTTAAAAATATTATCTTATTTTTTTAATTACTTTTAGACCCCATAAGGTTATTAATTTCATTAAATATCTCCTGAAAAAAAGTTTAAAAATTAACAAAAATACCCCGTGACCCATACTTGCCAGATTTCGACAACCACCATCGGTGATAGCCGAAATCTGCCACAACGGTGAGTTATCGATCAAAACTGGCCGGTAATTTACCGATCTGGCCTTTTCCAGGCCAGATTTGGCCATCAGCGACTGCCAAAGAAATGGCCGTCGTTGACGGTCAACGACGGCCAAAGATGGCCGTCGTTTTGTCCTTTTCCAGCCTTCGTAACCACAACAGGCCGTAGATCTAGCCTGAAAAGGCCATAACGACGCGTTATGACACAGATTTGACCGGTCTGTGTCGTAACGCAATTTTTCGGCTAGATTTCGGCGGTAATTGCTGGAATCTGACATTGCAGGTGGTGGGGGTATTTTTGTCATTTTATATATTGGGGTGTTTAATTAAATTAGCAAACCTAGGGGCTTTTTTATAAATTTCTAAATTTTACCTCGTAATACTCCCCTATACAACTACCCAATATTATTCCCAAAATCATATCCAAAATAATGAATCAAACGCACCCATATATATTATAAGTAGAAACATGAACAAGCTCAACCTTTTTTAAACAAATAAATATATGAATAAAGATAGGTTGACAAACACTTCTCATAATTTTCTCTCATAAATGTTAATGTGACAGCTCATAATTGGTCAGGTGAGACTCATTGTTGGACAGATGAGACCCATTACAAATTAACTAATTACATATTGACATGTCGCGTTTGTGAAAAAAAAAATTAATAAGAAGGGTTTATAAGTATAATATCACTGTAAATACATATAGGGCTAGGATTGGATCGTTGCTAATGGTAACCAAATTATTTAATTACGTTGATGACCGCTCTTTGATGTAGATGGGAGCATACTTATATTTATCATTTTCACAAGACATCTAATTGACAAACTGTATGCCTTTGAGGTTTCTGAATGTGAAGCGAAACATTGTAATTAGTGTGCTATCATAACTAGAGATTAAAACAAAATTAGAACACAATAAGGAATTAGTGTTTCAGGCTTTCAGCCCTTTACTGGGATATAATAACATAAACAAACAATTGATGAATGATGTTCAAAAACAAAACAATGTTGGAAATAATAATACATCACTCTGAAGAGAAAGGCAACTCTAGAAGAAAATATTACATCAAAATATTCTACATGACACAACAGTGGTAGAACGCTACCTAATCACCTAACTTAATTACTACATCAAAAGGAAGGAGGGTAATACCTCAGATTAAACTCATGGGGATACTGATAAATACTTCACAAGTTTACAGACAAAACAAACATTAGGTGAGATTCAACAAATGGAGTTTAGTTTGATTGTTGATTTTGTCAGTAACAATCGTTACATTACATAATGAGGTGAGGCTCTTTACATTACCCTACAGGCTGAGATGCATTAATGTCAGTTGGCTTACTCCTCGAATCTGATGGCAATGGAGACCAACTATCTCCACGAAATGTGGTAGTAAAATTTCCTTTTGGATCAGCACTAGAGATAGGAACAGCAGCAGTTGGAGCAGCAATTGATATGGGCTCATGTTTCTGTTTCTTAGGCTTTTGCTCATGCTGATTCCCTGCCAAAAAGCTGCCTACTACGACCTGATATACCGACAAAACGTCAAAAGAATTTAAGATTTGTGTCTCTTCAGATGTTTGAAGTAGCAATCAAGATGTTTTGAGAAAAAAATCGAAATTGACAAACCTGCACAGGACTTGCAGCCACTAGAAGACCAGCAACTCCACCGCCTACGACACGCCCATCAGGACTTGCTAAAGAAACACTCATCCCGCCGGATCTGCTCCTTGTTCCCCCACTATCACTAGGCATGAATGAACCAGATAAGGACAGTATTTCAAATCGACCCTGCAAGAACAACAGTGGGAACAAATGGGATTTCTGCTGGCTACTAGTTGAAGAAAATTGAATAAATGTAATAGGAATAACATTAGAGATGAGAGTGTACGTGAAAACTAAAAGGTTCAAAATAGATGCATCATTAGGGAAGGAAAATATCAGTTTTAAGTCATAAAACTTGAATAAGAACAAGTAGATGTATGACAAGAAAGAAAATCATGGGTACAGCAGCATACCAGAACAAGATCGAGTAACAATCCTAATTAGTTTTCCAAAGATGAGACAACAACAATTTGGTCCATCTAACATTACATTGCTCTCGTATTTGTTCCAATCTAAGGACAAAGCTATTGTCATAGCATTAACTATTTGGACCTTTTACTACTACCAATATTTTCATTCTAGTCTGCACCTAATTCTTCCAGCACTTCCATATATCGCATCACAAACTTCACTATTAAGTTAAAATTTCATAGTAAAAAATCATATGAAGAACAGGACCCAGAGTATTGCTATTCTAGTTCCTTACAACAAGGAGAACGAGATCTCAATCTGAATCTTGATAAGTATACCATTACAAAGATAAAAAATTTAACTTTCATATAACATGAAGATTGACAGAACCTCAAGGAGTTGAATCTTATTTTCAACACTGTGCATCAAACTGCCATTTCAATGTGAAGGACTTATTGTAGGTCAACTAAATATAAGCATCTCATTCAAAGAAAAATGCACCACCTCGTATGTTAATGTACCACCAGAAGAATCAGGCTGACGCAGTGTAACACTTGAGATCACACCATTTGCAGAAAGAATGCATATTGCCCGAGGTCCTTGTTGAGAAAACGATATGATCTTCATTGTAACATCCTAAAACAAATCACAATCACAGCAAATTAGCATATGACCTACTCAATCGAAATCTAAGAAGATAGAGAAATCATTCCAGAGAAGTTAGCAGCAAAACTAAGTGCAATACTTTCTGTATTTGACTGTTTGCAATTTCTTGGATGGAAAAATGGGAAAGAGACAGTGAGAGCCAAAAGCTCAAATTATGTCTACAGTTCTCCCAACCATGTTTTTTTCCAAGGCCAGGAGATACAGATGATTCTGCATTCAAGCCATGAAGCCACGAAAATAGAAAGAAAAAATTCTTAAAGAAACCTGTGATGATCAAAACATACCTCGCCTGTATTAACAGTAATGATATGTGGCGTAAAATTAGCACCAACGGAGCATGCAACCCATTCCCCTACAAAGAGTCAATTCACACAAGATAAGTAACAATGATGTGGAAGTTCCCACTATGCAATAAATTGTTTATTTACAGACAATAACCATGCAACCATGCAATCAAGCAAACTTGTAATTCATGCACAATTTCAAAAATCACAGTATTTTATAGGAAACATGATTAAGCTACTACTATCTTCTCAGATTACTAAGTCCTTTTCTCTCCTAGCATTTAATTTATCAAGATTGATAGATGTTATGGACTTATTGTATATATGTGCTTATAAGCTGAAAAAAAGAATAGGACCACCAAATTTAAGAAGTCTAGTCTTCTAATTGGTGGCAAAAGAAAAATAATAACAAATGCTATCATTCTAGTATAAGAATCCAAAGAAGAGGATAATTGTAATGACTATTGTTTGCAAATACATTACAAAATCATTCACAAATAGTACATTTTCAGACTCAATAAAGCGCGTGTGATTCTTAAATTTTGTACGAAATCTAGATTTTATTTACAAATGGCATCATTTCTCTTGTATGGCTCTCTTATGCTCGAAAGGTACAAAACAAAGATCATTCACATCTCAATGTCAAAAATAACAACATGCAACTGAAAATTGAACGATAAAACAAGAGATGTAACGCACAATGTATGGAAGTAGATACTTCTTTATGTTCAACATGAAAATTTAAGTGAGATAAAATATAAATAAACAACAAGAATCAGACTGCTCTCACAACGTATGTGGTAAATATATCCTAGGGTTGGGGAATTAGAGAGCCCAGAAACTCTATTACCCAATGGTCACGCACTTAAAAGAAGAGAGAATTCTGTAACTAGCTACAGTGTATGAAATGCTGAGTCTCACTGTAGTCGATTGGCTTAAAAGATGCTTTCTTAATTACACATGGCGTGATGCTTATTTTACCTGCAGTTCTAAAGAAGCCAGTGAAGTGACAAGCTAGACAGACAGATACTTTAGTAATTATGACTCTATTCAAGTTTTCACTTGTAACTTCAGAGAACTTGTACACAGCGGAGCCCAACGCCCCAACCCGATAAAAAGATGGCAAAAATAAGAAGTCAAAGCCATGAGTCATTAACTCATTGTATTCATCTACCCACTTGGAAGAGAAATCACACCACTTAACACGTAACACATCAGAACCTAAAAATCAGTTTTACAACAATATAACACTAAAATCATAACTAAACATAAAACATGAAGAAAACTTTTCCCCTATTCACTCAGGCAGGCAGTAACAAAAAGTATACAGGTGTCCTGTCCAGCATCACTTGGCAGAGTTTTAGCAGGTACCCAACAAGTACACAAATGACAACCCAAGATTCCATCATTCCTATACCAAACCAACTCACAAAAAAACCTAACTAGCACCACACACATAGCAAGATCTCTCGACATAAGCATCTAATCAAAGGTCCCACTTCTACCAACACCAGCACCAACAACACCACCACCAAAGTTTATACATCCCAACTCACTCAACTCACTCCATAAATACTATCAAAACCATATAAAACCTAAACTTTCAACCCCAAAACCCGTATCAATGCTTATTCATAAAACTTTTATTATAATTACCTAAATTTTCCAGCTCATACTTTGACTTGCTGACTGAGCTAGCCGGCTTCATTTTCCTTTGCTTCTCAGCCGAGCCGGAGAAGTCGATCACTGGAGGCGACGGCGCCGCCGAAGATATGGGCTTGGGCGAGAGAGCCATGGTGACCGTACCATCGGGTCCGTACTTTCTGGGTCTACCGCGCTTCTTCTTAGCAGGGAAAGTCGCCGCCGTTGCAGCTTGCGGCGTAGGAGCAGGAGCAGGGGCGGATCCCGGAGTCGGGTTCGGATTCGCTGTTGGGTTTTCGGATCTTGGAGCTATATGGTAGTCCGAAGGAGCATCTGATCCAACAACTGTTACCCCACCCGTTGTGGCTGGAGTTACTTGTTCTCTTGCTGCTGCCTCCATAGATAAACCCTAAATTTCTTTTTTTTTTAGCAAACAATTTTATGGATTTTTTGAGGGTTTTAGAGAAAACCCATTTGAATTTTAAGCTCAATCAACTTAAACCAAAGCTTAAAGTACAAAAAATAAAAAAATAAAAAAAAATTCTAGAAGAAGAAGAAAAATTAGAGCTTGAGCTTATTAGAATCTAATAAACAAGAAGAAGTTTGGCAGTGATTATTATTATTAAGCAGAAGTTGAGTTCTGAGATTAGAGAGAATAATTTAAGCTGAAACCGAGATTAAAAATGGTGGTATTTTTTTTTTAAATAATAATAATAATAATAATAATTTTGGCTTATGGGAAATTTGAAGAAAAAGATTGAAATTTGATCTTGATTTTGAAGTTTTGAATTAGAAAAGAAGAGATAATAAGAAACATTGATTTTTGTTGTTGAGCTATATTAGGTTCCTAACTTCGTAAGTTTGTCTGAAATGAGAGTAAAAAAGAAAATGAAAAAGGAAATAATTTGATAATATTATTATTCTAATGGTTGATATTATATGTTAAAATATGTTGATATTTGTTTATATGTTTTAGTTGGAATCCGGTGTAGAAATAAATTAAAATAAATTTGAAAGTGGGTAGATGATTTTCTTTTTTAAGGGTAGAGAAAGTGGACAAATTGATATAATAATATTATTATATTTTAATTAATTCTATGTTATTGAGTGAATGACAAGTAAATTTAATTGCCAAAGCATGAAGAAATTATTTAGAAAAGGAAAAAAGAGGAGTGGCCTAAGGCAAGCATTACCTTTTTATGGGGCCTGGCAAGCATTACCTGTAGGCCTGCAAAATAAAAAATAAAAATTTATTTATCTTTGTTTCAATGAATTTCTTCATATCCCTGGCCCTGGAGAAAAGAGAAAGTTCAAACAGCAGAAAGGTGAGCAATATATAGAGAGTGGTGGTTTATGCACACACCAAATTGTTACATAATACAAGAATCTCAATCTATATCAAAATTTATACTCACTTTAAATGTCAAATTATATTTAATTTTTTGGATTCTTCCATTATTAGCAATAAAGTTTAGTTTACCTCCGGAGTAAGACTTTGTGAGATAAGGTCAGTATATTTAATGCATGAACATGTCTTGTTATTTACGTCGGATTATTTCAATTAATTACATTCCTACGTCTTAACAGGAAAATAGCTCGATTTTTCTTTTCTCTTTTTTTGTAAGATAAAATGCAAACTGTAGAAATTATGCCAATTCTTGAACCTTCATTAATATTATAAACCTTGATATATCAGTTACCATCAAAACTAACTTGTATTTTTCTATACTACTGTATTATTTTTTTAAACTGAAAAAGTTTATATTCTAATAACTATTAGATTTAAATTCAAATAAACTTTGACTCCTATATTGGTGGATCCAAAATGTTTTCCCAAATAGACAGAAGCTTAATTATTTTTATTTTTTAAAATATATATATATTTATATAAAAGTCTCATATGGAATACGCGAAATTTTGGAAGTAATGATAGCAAAAATTAGTAATTTAAGTATGTAAGGGACCACAAGCATTGACCAAGATCAAATAGCAAAACCAAAAGGTATCTATCTATAAACTCAGATTAAATTAAGTTACCAAAAACAATAAAACAAATTAAAGAAACTGAGTTTAGATAAGAACAAACCAAATATTCAATTATTTTAGAGTAATTGATAAATATAGTTGATGAGTTCGATGCACATTATAACATTATTATCCTCTACAACTTTGTTTTTTGTTTTTTTCTTTATTTTCTTCCTTTGTTTTAATGAATATTGACATGCAAATGGGCATAAAATTATATTGTTTTTTTAATTATGGTCGGTTATCAGACCTAACATATTGCATATTTTATATATAATATGATGGGAAAAGCTTCCAAATTTCTTTTAAGAAATTACCACTTGAACTCTTCTAAGCAAGTGGTGCTCATATGGCAAGTCCATGTCAGGCACTGGAATCTCAGGGTAGTTATTTTTTTAATTACTAATTTTTTTTTTTATTATTTGATTAATTGCTTTACCAGTTATCAAGAAAGATGAGTGTCTGCAACAATCTTATTATTAATTTCATACAAATTAATTCAAACTAAGTAAATATATAAAAATTAGAGCCAATAATTTGCTTGCCTTAACCTTCCTGTTGCAGGCGCTCTTAGTCCTGAAAAGCGTAATGATGACTAGGTCCATCATGAGAAAATGGTGAATTGTTTCTTTTCAATCATCTTTTAACTGCGCACATGGTTATATGAATTCAATTTTTTAAGAAATACAAAGATTTAAACAAAGTTTTTTTTTTTTTTTTTTTTTTTAATAACTAGTAATTTTTAAAAGAATAATGATTTACATAAAAAAAAAAAAAAAAAAACAAAAACGGGGGAGGAAACCCCTAAGCACAGCGCCGGAACCCATTTACAAAAAAAAAGGGAACTCAAGCAAAGGGAGCACAAGAGAGTAAGGGTATACAAATCCTATAGAAAACAATCACACCCCAGGCCATAAAAGGAAGCAATCAAGGGTACCTAAACAACTCTTTAAAGCCTTTACACCTAGACATAAACAAAAACAGCCAAACATCAGGAGAAAGAGCATATAAAAATGCCTCACCCCAGCACAACCAATCAACCAGAAGGCAATGTCCCAGACCAGCAGCCACAACACCACTCCTGCCAAAAAAAAAAACAAGGACGCAATCAAATACCCACGGACAGCAGCCAACAGTAGCCCAGCCAAAGAAAAAAAAAAAAAAAAAACATGGCCACAACCCATGTGCATCCCAACAACGCACAGCACATACCAAAAGAAGCCTGCCACATCTCCACTGAAAGACAAGGCCCAACACCTCAATAAAAACAACCCACATACTCCTTGGGATCAAGGTCAGCAGCCACACAACCCACACCTCTTGCAGCAGCAACATGCCAAAGACAACAGGCAAACTGCATAAAGAAAAAAACAAACCGGGTGAGTGTTGGAAATGCTTATATATTTAGTGACTTGGGGATGAGATTGTAGGGAATTTACGGTTTAATGCATTATTTATGATGAGATTCCTTGCATGTTGTGTTATCCTTTAGAATCACGGGTTTTTGTGTGTTTTCAGGATTTCAAGTTCAAAAATGGATTATTCGTACGTGTGCTAATGTTCAGGCATCCTGCACTCATTCAAGTGCGGATAAATCAAGGCAAGAAGAAGTAGAATTTCAAGTTTGCACCGCGGCACAGTTTCCTACGCGGCAGCGTAATTTTACTCAATCCAAATTGTGCCACAGCAAAGATCGACGACTTCACAGTGCATATCGACGCAATCAAAGTTGTGTCGCGGCGTAGATATATCGCACTACGACATAAAACGGCAAAATCCATATTGCGCCGTAGCATAATTCATCCTACACCATGCGTGGAACGGGTTTTTGTCGAAGCAAAAATCTTCTGGAAGCATGCCAGGGCGCCAAAGAACCATGCTACGGTGCAAAGCATGAATTTTGTATAAACAGTGCATTTCCAACCCTAATTTGATTAGCCAGTAATTACTAAACTGGCAATATAAAGACAATTTATTTCGTATTTTTATTCATTCATTAGATTAAGAACATTGTAAACACTTGGAGAAGGGGTTTTTGAGATGAGGGATCAATCTTGCTTATTTTTGGTGGATTTATCATCCAAATAGTTACAGGTAAGATTGAGGTTTGTTCTATTGTGATTATGGTAGCTAAATCCCTCACTAGTGTATCCAATGTAGCCTATTTGATTACTTTATGTTTTAATCTAATTATTTGTTTAATCGATCCAATATAATCTTAGTTTCATTCATTGTTATGTATTAATCAGTTGATCGGTATTATTGGTTGATTGTTGAATTGGGAGTAGGCTTAGCCATAGTAATTTCGAATTGCTCTTGTGGATGATTTGTTAGGGTAGATGTCCCAGAGCCAATCAATTATTGTAGAATTGACTCTTTGTAATAATGTTCATAATCAATAATAAAAGGCATTTTATTCTATATCGCGTAAATCATTATTATTGCAATATGTATTGATATATGTCTTTAGAATGGTAGAACCGTGACGAGGGTATCAAGTGTTTCAAATCTTAATAGTGAGAACCCTATGAGCACATATGGTGGCCATTCTAAAAACGTTCGTAGCCCCAGTATTATTCTGAAGTAAGGGCACAGATAATACGGTAAGGCTATCATAGTGTGAACGACCTGTCGAAAGCAGTGACTGATCTCACTTGTCAAGATTGTTTGGTGACAACCTGGTGCAACACATGGGTCTTGTTGTAGGCGGATATACCCAGCAAGTTCACTGGACTGACCCACCAGAGTTACATATGGATGGTAACCCCAGTGCCTATGGAACAAATCCTCTAACGAATTGTGGTGCATGTGATCCTTAGACTTGAGATCACTGGACTCCTTATGCACCGATTGGTGCAGTTTGACACTAGCCTACACAGTTCTTTTCAGAGTCTCAATACGTGGTGATTAGCTGAATCAGGAGTGTATCAAGGCTATGGTGGATTGACAGAGGATTCATCACTCCCGGGTACGAGAGAAGTTATCTCACGTGCCTTTAGTTATATGGCAATGACACTAAAACTGTGGCCACAGTGGGATTGAGTTTTGCTCTATCTGGATTATAATCAGGTCATTGGTCTAGAAACTGAATACATAATATCGAGAGTAACCGAAGGTTGACACTATTTTATGCCTTCGTCTTATCGAGATAACGAATGATGAAAGGATCGAATTGTACAGTAACCATATCGTTGACAAGTAGCTGTTTTGCTGAATCCGAATCTATCGGTGGCCATGTGCCTTGCTAGGGGCTAATCTTGGTCTGTGTATTAGTGAGATGATTAATGTGTTGTAATCGCGATACTATACATTGTCGGTATGATAAGAAGTCTATGGGTCACACACATAGAAGATAATTTAAGAGCCAGAGAAAGAAGCGTTTTCGTTTTTTTTTTAGGCGAAAGGGTATTTTGGTAATTTCACAGTGCAATTAAATTTGCTGAGGCGTAGCCTTTATTTAATTTGTTAGAAAAATTAAATAAGTGAAATTACGGTTAAATTGTG